ATTAGCAACTCAAAGGTGAAAGGAAGTCCCGCCTCTCGGTGCGTGATTGGACCGATGTGGGTAAAATCGTGAAATGATAGGCTAGGAAGAGGTGTCCAGACGGTTCTTCTTTTGAACAGAAAGGAGGAGTGTCTGGCAGGCCAGGCAAGCGTTGTCCCGTTGCTTTCCCAAATCTCCTGGCATGTGAGTACAGTGAGTGTGCCGACCGCGGACAGATTAATCCCTGAGTCTGGGCTGCAGGCGGCTGGTTTTTGCCCTACGCACTTGACTGCAGGCGTCAGTTTTCGCCCCGTGCTTGGTCTGCAGGCTCCGTTTTCACACGCGTTTGAGCTAACTGAGGGGCAATGCATATTAAATGGCATCAATCTCCAATGTCTGAGGGATATAAGAGGAGCAATGTGCATTAATTCAGATTCATGTTCTGCCACTTGCAGTAAAACCACGTTGGAAAAAATGTGCAAAGACTACCCCAGCGTGCTCCAGACGGCACACACAGAGCTCTTGCCACAGCGCCATCTTTACAGCATCAATCTCATTACTCGCAAGTCACTATTGTTAAATGAATGTATTTAAATTCGTCTATCTGCAGGAGGAAGGAGGAGGTCATGCATTTAAATAGCTAGGTCACTAGTATTAAACTGGGTAACTAAACTGCAGTTGTTACATTTCGAAAGTGCAGCAGAAAGAAAAGGGGCCCGATGTGAATATGCAATGGGTTTGAAGTGGAGCTGGAGCTAATGAACGCATGGATCAGTGATCGTTCATGCGTTCTACCATAACCAAAGCAGCAAGATGGCTCCAGGGGACATCTGTTTCTCGCATGGGAATGTTTCGGATTCGGGTTGATTTATTTCCTCAGGCTCTTAAACAACCGTGGGCATGGTTCTCTGACCGCCGCTGCTGCGGTCCCTGCTGCCGTTCCTACTGATGCCTGATCCCGCTGCTGCCTATTCCTGCTGCTGCCGGTCCCTGCTGCCTGTCCCTGCTGCCGGTCCCTGCTGCCGGTCCCTGCTGCCGTTCCTACTGATGCCTGATCCCGCTGCTGCCTGTTCCCGCTGCTGCCTGTTCCTGCTGCCTGCTCCTGCTGCTCCTACTACTACATGTGCCGCTGCTGCTGTTCCTGCCGCTGCCGCTCCGCGGGCTCCCAGGCTGCACCTGTCTCTACGGCTCGGCTCTTTCAGACACGTATGTAACCTGGCTCACGGAGACAAGCGGCGCACGCTGGCGTGACACGTCTGTTGTTCGTATGAATCGCATTGTGCTGCTGCTGCTTGCTGCTTCTGCTGCCGCTACTGCTGCTATTGCTGCTGCTTCATACTGCTACCGCTTCCGTGCTGCTGCTGCTTCTTTACTTTGACACCTCTCTTCACTGCGCATCTCTTTTACTGAAACACTAAACAGCTTCAACTATATTCTACTGCTCTGGCTTTGATACAGGATTATTGCTGCTATTATCGACGGATGCTGCAGCTGCTGCTGCTTCATACTGCTACTGCTGCTGCTGCTTCATACTGCTACTGCTACTGCTGCTGCTTCATACGGCTACTGCTGCTACTACTGCTGCTGCTGCTTCATTTACTTTGCCATCTCTCTTCACTTCGCATCTCTTTTACTGAAACCCTGAACAGCTACAACAACATTCTACTGCTGTGGCTTTGATACAGAATTATTACTGTTATTTTCTAAGGACGCTGCTGCTGCTGCTGCTGCTGCTGCTACTGCTGCTGCCGCGGCTTGATACAGGACTTTTGCTGTTATTATCTGAGGCTACTGCTGCTGCCGCTGCTGCTACTGCTACTGCAACCCACTCTCTCAGAAGCTTATCCTGCTTCTAATGGACGCAGCCCGGCTGAGTATGCCGCGCTGCGCCGGACTCGCACCTATGCTCCCAGGGTCGCTTCGGCGGTCGTGCTTCATCTCTCTACTGAATCTTCTGATTCTATCAGATGCAGCTGGCCAAGTAGCTGCGCTGAGCCGTCAATCGGACTCCTAATCAAAGGCATCCATACCTGTATTCTTCACTCTTCTGATCACAGGCTCCCCATCATGCTGCCCATCCTGCAGCGGCTCTGAACTCCGGCTCATCTTCCAAGTACATGTCTGCCTTCCTCGCAGCATCTTCTGCTCGCCTTCTGTGGCTTCTCTGCATAAGCGTTTCACCACTGCTCACTCAACCTTCAATGCGGTCCAAGACACGGCTTTTCCCGTCCTATCCTACTGGCCTAATTATCTACTCTCCAACCCAAGATTCTAAGCGTAAGGGCGCCTGCAACATCAATGGCCCTCTCCGGTGTGTCTCTCTGCCCCTACAGGTCTCCGCTTCTACACGGACGCTGCCCCTTCCGTGGGTTTTTGGGGGATTCTTCCAGGACCAGTGGTTCGCCGGCCGTGGCCCGCTACTTTCCCCGGAGCATTTCCTCTGCCCTACACGAGACATTCCCAGTGGTCGTGGCCTGCGCGCTGCGGAATCACATGTGGCAGAGAAAGAGGATCTCTGTCATGCGTGATCATCTCGACGTAGTGGAAGCATTAAACAAAGGTCGCTCTTCTCACCCAACATAATGTCCCCTGACCATTCAACCTTCATCTCAAACATTCAAAGATCAGAGGCGCCTGCAACACAATAATAGCTCGCTTCGACACATCTCTCTGCCCCTACAGGTCCATGATGCGTTACACTCGCCTCCGCGGCAAAAAGGAGATTTTAACGGACCTCTAATTCTCACTCCAGTCAACCTTCCCATAACAGCAACCTGGTTCAGAGCTCAGCTAAGATCCCTACTGCTCCTCTGCAATTTGTCTCCCCAGCTCTATACAGCCCACTCCTTCAGGATAGGCGCTGCCACGCGCGCGACCTCGCTGGGGCTCCCCCACTCTTCTCTGCAACAGCTGGGGCGCTGGTCCTCTTCGGCTTCTCCACCTACATCAGGCCAGATGCGACCGCTATCATGGCAGCACAACGTCTACCGGCTTCCTCGTAAGCTCCCAGCAAAGCAAGTAAGCAATAAGATTCTGGTGGCGGCACGCACTTCCTCAAACGCTCAAAGATTCCTCTGCTTCAGCGTCTGGCTGAATATGAGCGTGCGCTCATATTCTCAGCTCGCTCAAAGATTCCTCTGCTGCGGCTGGCTGAGCATGCGCGTGCGCGCATGTTCTCAGCTCGCTCAAAGATTCCTCTGCTACAGCGGCTGGCTGAACATGCGCGTGCGCGCATGTTCTCAGCTCGCTCAAAGATTCCTCTGCTACAGCGGCTGGCTGAGCATGCGCGTGCGCGCATGTTCTCAGCTCGCTCATGCTCTCAGGCCCGCGCAGTGCGTCCTGCTATCCCAATCGCAGGCCCGCTTTTTGGGGATCATGCACGCGAGCAAGCGCCGTGCTCAGCAGCATCCCGCCCGGGCCTAGGGCGCCAAACATGCTCAATCAATAAACATGCTTAAATCTAATAAGTTAATGCGTTTCCTCATGGGTCTCTCCAAGGTGAAATGGAGCTTCGCGAAGGTTCACTGTGGTAGACCCGGCTGCTGCTGCCAGGCCACAGGCTGCTCTTCCTCGACTCATCAATACCAGCAACGCCCACACCCAGTCAACCAATAACCACCAGGACAGCAAGTTAAAAGCCGGAGACGCCCACTTCCCGGTCTTCTGAAGTCTGCAAGCCGCCGCCGCCCCACCTCCTCCTTCTCTCATGAAGCGTGCTTGCCTACTGCCTCTGCCGTCACCAGTGCCTAGGCCCCGGGGGGATCATGCACGCGAGCAAGCGCCGTGCTCAGCAGCATCCCGCCCGGGCCTAGGGCGCCAAACATGCTCAATCAATTAGGGATGTAAATCGGTGACCGGTTAACCGGTGGTTGACCGTCACAGCGTTAACCGGTCAAAGCTGTCGGTTAAAAATAGAAAATGGGGAGGGGGGGTTACGCTACTATAGACAGCGGAGTGGACTACGTTTGCCATATTAATTCCACGATAATTGTTTGAACGAGTGATCCCTCGCCTGATTGTATTTAATAAATCAATAAAACAAATGATGCAAGGTCACACAGGCTGTAAGCGCGCGCCGCTCCAGTGGGGTCACTGGAGCGCGCTTACGAGGTTTGCTAGTGATACCACAAAGCGGCAACAAACAGGTTAGCAAGCCGGGCAACAAGATGAAGCGTGCAAAAACGAGCAGTGTGTGGGACCATTTCACTAAAAAGAACGAGACAGATGTCAGCTGCAACTTATGTGCTACTGTTCTTAAATACAGTAGCAGCACCTCATCCATGATGTACCACCTGAAAACCAAGCACCCGCCGCAGGTCTCATCTGGTAACCAAAGCCAACCCACCGTATTATCTATGCTAGGCGCCGGTAAGAGATGTGACAACCCGCGATCAGAAGCAATTACCCAAAAGATATGCGAGATGATAGAAAAGGACATGCTGCCTCTCGAGTTTGTAAATGGGGAGGGTTTTGTTGAGTTAATTAAATTTATTGAATGTAACTACACAATCCCAACTCGCCAGACCATAACTACTCGCATTGAAGAGCGCTTTGCAAAGAAAAAAGCGGAGCTGAAAGCACGCCTCCACCGTACCAGATTTGTAGCCATCACTACGGACTGCTGGACAGCACTGACGACAGAGAGCTACGTGACCGTCACCTGTCACTGGACTGACGAGGATTGGCAGGTGAAATCAGCAGTCCTCCTCACAAGAAGCATGACAGGGAGACACACTGCTGATAACCTGGCTGCAACATTAAACGGTGCGGTAGATGCTTGGGAAATTACAGGGAAAGTGATCGCATGTGTCCACGACAACGCAGCCAATATAGTGGCTGCCAACAACCCTGAAAGGGTGGACTGGTTATCAGTTGCGTGTTTCGCCCATACACTCCAACTGGCAATTAATGATGCATTTAAGCCTTATGTTTATAAAGTTATATCGGCGGCCGGTAAACTGGTTTGCCATTTCAACCACAGCACTGTAGCCTGCAAAGCACTAGAGGCCAAACAACTTCAGATGCAGCTCCCCAAGCACAAACTCATCCAGTCTTGCAAAACTAGATGGAATTCAGTGTTGGACATGTTTGAGAGGCTGCTTGAACAGCGATGGGCAGTGACCGCTGTTTTGTCCGACCGCACTGTCACAAAACAGCAAGACGCCAGAGTGCTCGAGATCAGGGATGAATACTGGGCAATAATAGCTGATTTAAAACCTGTCCTGGAAAAACTGAAATGCGCAACCACCATCATGTCATCTGAGAAGACAGTGTCGATCTCTCACATCTACCCCATCACCTTCAGCATCATAAAGAAACACACGATCAAAACGACCTGCGATAGGCCTCGGGTGGCGGAGTTCAAGGCCACAGTTCGACAATCACTGAGTGAGCGCATGGAGGTATGTTATAATGTTGTCTTTCTGATTAATCTTTTTTTTAGGCAATAATGAATTTATTGTACACTGCATAGGTAGAACTGCATACATCTAAGTTATATATAGGCTAATATTTGAAATAGTATAGTGTTAGGCTTATGAATTAATAGATGAATGAATTATAGACATTAATTCAGCTGTAATAATCTTACAGGTTGACAACAAAGCACGCTTGGTTGCCATGCCAGCGCTGATGGCTTCTGCCCTGGATCCTCGGCATAAACACCTCCTGTTTTTAGCAAGAGATGAAACAAAGGCTGTGTTTGATAAGTTGAATGAACTTTGTGCTCATGACCTGGAGGACCATGCAGCTATTGCGGAGGACATGGGTGAGGAAGAGGTCGAGCAGCATGGTGCTACAGGGGGAGTCGATGATGCTGTGACAGCGGGGCCATCCAGTGCTATTAGTATGCTACTGGGAGACGACTATAGCGTAGCAGATACCACGAATCCACAGATGGAAGTGGATGCGTATATTAAAGATCCTCGCCCTTCACTCGAGAGCAATCCACTGGATTGGTGGAGGGAAAACCAGACGCGCTTTCCTAGGCTGGCTGAAGTGGCACACCGCTACCTGTGCATCCCCGGGACTTCTGTTCCATCGGAGAGGGTTTTCTCTGCTGCTGGCCTTGTTGTCAACAGACTGCGTACCCGCTTGACCCCAGAGCACGTTGATATGCTTGTTTTTTTGAATAAAAATAAGTAACTGTCTCACTCGGAGTCGGAGTGTAGCAGGCCGAAAAACTAATGTTTTGAGAGGAGTTAAGGCGTCTTTTACGCACTGAATATGTTTGTGTTATCTCTGTGAGATGTTTGTTCTATAATTTCTCGTTATTCTAGGCCATGTTGGCAATGTTTATGGTTTGAGATGTTGCTTAAGTCGCTTTGAAAAATGAATACATTATTTTAATTATACAAACATGTTTGGTCCCTTCTTTATTTTGTTTGTCTGTTTGTATTATTTGGAGTGACTTTGAGTCTGTAAATAAAGTTATATAATAATATGTATTATAATTATACGGCAAACAGTGAGTCTTTAACGCATTCTGAATGTGCCGGTTTTAAGTCTATCCATTGGTTTCATCGTGCTGCAGCAACATTCCGCATAAGATGGGCTTCTATCTGGAAATACATTGCATCTACATTTAAAGAAGGATATCAGTCAAACGTGTGAACTGCAGAGGCTGTTTTAGCACAAAGGCTCAGGCGTGTAGCTGTCACTTACAGCTAATGAAAAAAATAATTCTTTCTCAAGACACAGAAACAGTGCATTATATGAACCTTAAAAAACTAGTGTTGAAAGGAAGATAACATAATAGATAATAAAGGTGTGCATAAAGTTTATTTGAACAAAAAGATTATTGAATGACTAGTGTCCCAAACGGAGAAAAGATATTTAAAATAGCTAATTAAATACAAGTTAGCAAATACATATTAGCCAGTAATAGCCACTGAAATAAACACAAAACATAACTGAATCAAAACCCACACAACACAAATAACAAAGTGAATTATATTTAACCAATATATTCACCTATAATATACTAGAAAATATGTCTAAACGAAATAAATGATAAAAGTCCCAAAAACAATGGCCTCCAACGACAGAGTCTCAAATGAAGGTGTAAAAACAAAAAATATCTGTCCTGCGCCCGTGTCTTTGTCAAATAACCTGGTCGGATTGGTTGGATGTTCTCTAGCCAATCCTGAACGTGCCACTTGCAGGCCGGAAAAAAAGCAGTTCTCTGTGCGCAGAGGTGCCGAGGCAGTAACGGGTTTCGCTCCACTGTCTTGGCTCTGATCCAGCACGTAGAATGTATAGCTGCACTTATGAAAGATGTGTGGCTCGAAATGGCTGTAATTTCAAAGAACGTGCATATTTCAAACTACGCGGTTAACCGGTTTCAACCGGTTAATGAGGCTCGGTGGTCGGCCATGAAAATTCATAGTTTTTTACATCCCTACAATCAATAAACATGCTTAAATCTAATAAGTTAATGCGTTTCCTCATGGGTCTCTCCAAGGTGAAATAATGTGTGCTGTGAAACTTTGCCGTACACTAAAAGCTGCACCAGGAATAGACGTTTAATTGCAGAAGATAAACGGTGTAAGTTCATTAATGGCTGCCCTGAGTGTTTTACTGTGTGGCCTTTGCAGCTGAAACGTCCCCAATAGACATGACTCACTCCTCGGTCAGCATGGGCTTAGCCAAGACGTCAACAACCAAGGAACTAGAGTGACTCCCACAGAAAAGATACAGCATATTCTTGTGCCATGTTAAAGTGTACACCACGTGCATATAACCAGTGTTGTATGGACATGGTTGTATGGATTTGTAAGATTATTGAAGTCGATATCACACATAACTTATGTTGTTTAGTTGATATGCTGTTGATATGGTGTTGCAAAAAGACTGGAAATTATCTGAACTTATTTCTTATATGAATGCTTTTAGATCCAGATTGAGACCACTTGAGACATCCTCATTGGAATGTAACCGTTTTTTATAATCCGTAATTTTATGAAATTGTTTGTAACTGTTTTATTATCTGTAATGTATGTAACTTTTGTCCGGGATTCCCTTGAAAAAGAGGTTCTTAATCTCAATGGGACTTTCCTGGTTAAATAAAGGTTAAATAAAAAATATCGGAGAATTGGGTCGAAAACAATCATGTAGTACATACAATAATTGATAATAGCTTTATTTTGGGGCACCAGTGAATAAATCACAATTGATAATGTTATCTATTGATTTGCTCATTTGTTGATTCTGAATCTTATGAGTCCTCATTTATTTAATTAGCTATAAGTCCAATTCTCTTCAATAGAATCTGAAGGTAATGAATCCTTTTACAAATCAGTGACCTCATCAGTGAGTTAAATCAGCACAAATATCACTTTCAGAAAAAGATGGTTTTGATGCAGTTTTTACAAAAAAGATGATTGTTTAAATGGATGTTGAGATGATGTTCTTCCCAGGCAACCTTCTTTCAGAGAGAGCTTCAAAATAAAGTTGTGAGGGTTTTGTCACTTCTGGGGCCACCTCCCCCCGGAATGCGCGGAGGCAAGGGTCATATCAGTGCAGAGGAAGGGCCACATACACTGCAAGACAGAGGTGACCCAGAGTTATCTCTATAAAAACAATTTAAAAAGAGTGGGAGAGAGACACTTCCATGCTGTTGTTAGACATTTGGGAAAAGAGGCAATATTCATTCCCCCTACAGTATTGTATTGCTTTTTACTGTATTGCGGTAATGTAAGGCATAAACAAAAACTGGGTAATATTTTACTCTTTACAAAAGTGAGTTACACTGTATTTTAACCCAAAATGAAATAGGGTTTTGTTTTTAGACAATGCCAACGCAAGATCAGCAGAGGAGAAAATATATATATATATATGTAAGGTTAAACTGAGGGCAGGACCAAGCCTGTCCACTCTGTTTACCATTGACCAAATGGAGAGATACAGCTTCAAAGGAGCCATGGGGTCAGCCACAAGCCGCCATCAATCATGAGGATTACAGATGCCAAAAAGAGTAATAAAGTCACCACGGGGATAAGCACCTCTGTCTCTGCCTGCCTGTAGAGATCAAAGATCACAACCCTGCCCTCGCTCACAGACTCCTGCCACCGGACAATCAAAGACTCTCCCGCGGCGCTCTGACGCCCCCTTGTGAACAATGGACACTATCACACCCGGGACGGACAATTGCGAACCGGTACCCCTGGGTCCAGTACTCCAATAATCTGCATTGTGCCCCATATGTGTGTATCAATGTCAAAGTAATGAAATACGGTGTGTGTTTGTACATGTCTTATGATTATTAGCATCAATCCTGTGTGTTTCCTTTACAAACTGTCTGTTGTAAAAGGGGTCTGTCCACAGAGGGCAGGGGCGGCATGGACACGCCCCCTGGGAAGCCTATATGAGCACCCACACGCCATTGTTCTTTCTCTTGTTTTCCCCAAATCCACTATAACAACCACCCGTGGGTACGTGTTCCCTACACGGCCTGCGCTCGCAACCTCCCTCTCAGCCCTGCGGCCACGCAAGTACGCGCCTCCAGCAACGACTGTGCCGTCCGCCCCGAGGCCTCCCGCTTCCACGCAAGCCTCCTTTCTGGTTGGAATCTACGAACTGTTCATCACCAGCCTCTTTCCTTGGCTCGCGTGCACCAGCAGCTGGACCAAACTAGCAGGCTTCATAACTCCCGCCTGCCCGGACAAAGAAACCACGTGGGCTGTTTCCCAACCCAAAGCCCTTCTCCATCCTCTACGCTCCTCCAAAGTAAGACTGTTCCTTGTTCAGTGTTCAATTTGAATGAAATGTGTACAGCTCCTACTCAAATGTGACCAGAAATCCTTTTTCGTTATGCTTCATCCCACTTTGTAATCAATAAATCCCTTTTCTTTAACTCAATCCTATCAGAGTCGTGTTGTTAAGATCTCGGACTATCACTGGCGGATAAAACGTATTCTACACCCTTAGATTATAGATTGATATCGAGGCAAAGATTTGGTTGGTGTCTATGTGCAGATTTCTAACTCTGCTGGTGCCCAAAATAAATAACATAGACCTGTTGGTGGAACGGCGAGCTTCCGCTCCGGAGACTAGCCGCTCCACACTACCAAATTCATACTAATAAGTAATTATAATCAGCTAATATAAGTAGTCACCCTACATATATATATACCACACCAGACAAGACCCAAGGTGTCGGTTGTGCAAAGAGGCACCTGAGACGATCCAACACATAACTGCAGGGTGCAAGATGCTGGCAGGGAAGGCCTACATGGAACGCCATAACCAAGTGGCTGGCATAGTGTACAGAAACATATGTGCAGAGTATGGGCTGGAAACTCCAAGGTCTAAGTGGGAAACTCCTCCAAAGGTGGTGGAGAATGAGCGTGCAAAGATCCTGTGGGACTTCCAGATACAGACCGACCGAATGGTAATGGCAAACCAACCTGACATCGTGGTGGTAGACAAAGGGCAGAGGACAGCCGTGGTGGTGGACGTGGCAATTCCAAGCGATGGTAACATCCGGAAAAAAGAACATGAAAAGCTTGAGAAATACCAAGGTCTCAGAGAGGAGCTGGAGAGGGCCTGGAGGGTAAAGGTGACAGTAGTGCCCGTGGTGATCGGTGCACTCGGGGCAGTGACCCCGAAGCTAGAAGAGTGGTTACAGCGGATCCCCGGAACAACCTCGGACATCTCGGTCCAGAAATGTGCAGTGCTAGGAACAGCAAAGATACTGCGCAGAACCCTCAAGCTCCCAGGCCTCTGGTAGAGGACCCGAGCTTAGAGAGGGATAACCGCCTGCGGAGGGCCAAAGGTGAGTGGACAATTATATATATATATATATATATATATATATATATATATATATATATATATATATATATATATATATATTATATTATATATATATATATATATATATATATATGTTGACATGGTGAAAGTATATTAAAAGTAAAGTTCTTGCACTACACTACAAGAACTTTACAATTCAGAGACAGTAACATTGTGGTGTAACAAGTAATACATAATGTACTGTGTTTTTGAACTTGTCCAGCCTTGCAGTTCACGCAATTATTGACTGTGTTGCCATCTTTTTCACATGTATTTTTTTCTTCCAAAGTTCGGGAAAGCCTTGCATTTCCCCCATCGCAGCAAAAGTCTTATTGCATCACAGCAACGCCATGTAGTTCTTGTAGATGCACTGATGCAGTCGAAACATGTCAAAGTATGACATCACACACTCTGAGAAGACAATAATATCTGGATCTGGATGTTGTTTGCACCACATATAAAAATGAACATATAACTATCCCACAACAAGCTAAAACATGACATCCTCCATTATGCGTCTGCGCAGCTTGGAATGTCCCAAAGATTATAATTACAGATGTTTTGAGACTATGGATAATCTTAATTCCATACTGCGACACATTCTAGCCCAGAATCACACAGAGACATGCAGAAGGCGGCGCTCTTTCAGAGAGGTCACATCTTATAGATCCATGAGTCACTTGTGGAGGGATTGTAGGTGCGGGGGTCAGCGGGGGTCTGCTGAGCTCACAGACCCCCGCTGTGGGCTGAACGTTCCTCAAATGAGTCCGGAGCAAACAGAGGAAGCTGTGTTTGTGTTTTGCACCTCTGGGAGCGCACATGTTTATCCTGGATGTTCAAACTCTAAACAGACACCGTCTCATGGTCAGAGGAAATTAGATTTACAGAAATGTTCAAATTATGTAAAATGAAACCACTGATGTTTTATACATTTGAGAGTACAATATTATAATAGGTAATTGTTAATGAATGATTTGTTAGAATGTTATATGTAGTGACATCTGATAATTCATGTTTTATGTACATTGAACTTGAAATTAATAAACTCAACTCAATGATCTTGCATTAGCAAAAGTCCCAACTCATTCACCCTCCCTGTGTGAAGGAGAGATTCTACTGGTCTTTCCTTCCTGCTTCTGTCAGACTGTACAATGAGTACTGGTGAGCCTGTGAATTTCATTCTTCTGTAAATAAGGCAATACTGCAACTTCAGAATGTCACTTTATCTGCTTGTTACCCTGCCCTACAGGGGCATACATACTGCCCCTACAGTATGTACATACAGTACATGTACATACAGTACATGTACATACAGTACATGTACATACAGTACATGTACAGTACATACATGTACAGTATGTACATATAGTGTACATATATATACATATTTAAAAAGACTGTAATTGAAGTATTTACAGCTAGCTAAGAAACATAGCAGCTACTTATTTTGTGTATTTCATGTGCTCCCTGTGTGTTTTTACCACTGTCCTGTGTATGCGCTGCAACATTGAAACTTCCCCGCTGTGGGACGAATAAAGGATCTCTTATCTTATCTTATTCTACAAACTGTGTAGAGCATGAGATGAAAGCATTGTCATAACAGAATACACTTTAACTCATCAATAAATTAATTGCACTGCAGTCTCGTTCTCGTCCAAACAGGCAGTGTGTGTGTTGTTCTGAGGTCCATCTGAGTGTGTGTGTTCTGGTCACATGTGTCTGTCCTTTTGGCTGAAGTGGCAGCATTATTGTCCTGCTCACTCGCTCACATTCACAGTTTCTAAATTAAAGCTTTAAATCAAGCTGCAGCTGCACCAAAGCATGACTTTTATGGTGCCATATGGTTCAATCCAACCTCAAATGTTTGGAGGATTATTGGAGGAA